AGAGCAACATAAACAAGCGAAGGTCAAAATCAAATAATTGCCATCAATGCCACCAAAATCATAAGAGGGTGGTGGATTGCCTAAGATGCCAACGAAAACGTTGTTGTGTTACTTGCATTTCGAAATGGTACCTAACAATGTCAGAGAATGATATAGAAGAGGCTTAACCATTTTGTCATGGAAACTACAATTGCATTGCATGTTTGTGTAGGACTGGAACAGATACTAGAAATATTGATAGGCCAACAAACAAGAAGGAAAAATCTTAGCATTAGATTTATTTGGTGCATCTATTTTATATCCATTTTTCAAAAAGTTTTACCGTGAGCAAATGATAGAAAAAGAGATAGAGGCCAAAAATAGAGGGTTAGAACTGTCAAAGTTAGAAATACAACAATCTATGTGTAAGAATGATGAGCGTTTATATTGCAATAATTGTGAAACCTCCATAGCCGACTACCACAAGAGCTGCCTAGAATGCTCATATGATTTATGTCTTTATTGTTGCCAAGAAATTTGCAATGGTTGTTTACAAGGCGGACATAAAATGACCACGAAACATGTCAACCGCGGGAAAGGTTATTTACATGGAGCGGAACCCCTCTTGCTCTCCTTAGTTAAGAAAAAGTCTTCTAATAATCAAACTAAGCTCATCTCAAGGAAACGTAAGAGACTTATAGTTGAATGGAAAGTAAATGAAAATGGTGACATCTCTTGTTTGGTGGAAAAGTTGGATGGTTGTGGATATGAGGGTTTGGAGTTTAAAAGCTTATTTTCAAATAGATGGCTCTCAAAGTTGAAGAAGAAAGTTAAAAAAATTAATGAAAATCCATAAACTGACGGATAAACCACAAAATTATAAGAATAGTAGTTCAAGCTCCACTTTGGGTGGTGAGATTGATTCATGTAACAAGAAATTAAGGGAAGCACCTTCTCGAGAGGTTTTGTTGCCATTTTTTTTTTTACTGCCCTTCAGTTGATGATATCCAGCTACAAGGATTTGAGAATTTTAAGTACCATTAGGAGAAGAGTCAGACTCACCTCAAATTTTATCATGGGATCAAAGCTAGGCTCAGTTGAGCTATGTGCTTAACCAGCGGGTGAGGAGTTAGAGCCAACAACTACCTCCATCAATAGACATGACCTAACATTTGGGATTGACCGTGAGGGGGAGTGTTGGAGTCCTACACCGACTAGGCACACTCAAGTCTAATAGTTTATAAAAAGGAGTAATCTTCCCATTCAACAAGGCCTTGTTGGGTGGGGAGTCAGACCTACCTCAAACTCTATCACTAGGTTCTTGGTTTTGACATATTAAAGGAGGCACATTTGGTAATGGTAGAAGGCTTGATGAATTTTCTTTGGGGTTAACAAACTTGTTAAAGTCTCACACCGACTATACACGCTCAAATCTACTGGTTTATGAAAGGGGGTAATCCTCTCATTCAACAAGGCCTTATTCAGTGGAAAGTCGGGCCCACCTCAAATTATATCATGGTATTAGGGCTAGGCCCAAATGAGTTGAGTATTTGACTAGCGGGTGAGGAGTTCGAGCCAACAACTACCTCCATCAACAGGAATGACCCAACATATGGGCTTGACCGTGAAGGGGAGTATTTGAGTCCCATACTGACTAGGCACACTTAAGCCTTCTGGTTTATAAGAGAGGGTAATCCTCCCATTCAACAAGGCCTTATTGGGTGAGAAGTTAGGCCCACCTCAAATTATATCACCTAGAAAACCTATGACCTATAGTAAAAAGGGCGAATATATGGAGAGCCAAATACATGAGAATTATTGTTTGGTGCTAGGATCCATGACCATGATGAGAATTATCATATTAATTTTAAGCACCCACTATTTGTCCTACCCCGACACTTCATTGATAACCATAGGGATACATAAGAAAAATTAGGTGCTCTTAACATATGTGTCAAGCTAAATGCCCTAGAAGTTAATAATCAATTAAATTTAAATGGCTTATGACATTCCACCTAGGGATAGGTCAAATACCTTTCTAGCTCTCATGTTAAGTCTAACATAAAATACCACTATTGCCATGCTAGAGGTAACATCTCATCTCATTGTCATAAGCATAGTTTGACATTGGAAATATTATGATTCACTTGTTAAGGAAGATAGAGAGGTTGTAGACACCTGATATGAGTTAAATATTTAAAGGTGAAATATGAGGGATGGGTTGATCAATTGTCATGAGATGCTGACAACTTGTCGTCAACACTACAAAATTAATATGCCTTACTCCTAATTATTAACCAATAGATAGCATGAGCAAATGTCGATCCCACGGGGAAGTAGTTGAATCTAAATTCCAATTGTTTAAAATTAAATCCTAGAACTTTCACGAAAAATAAATTCCTAAATTAAATTGACCTAAATAACCAAAATATAAATTGGGGGCTTTGTAAAATCAAGGAAACTAATTAATTATCTAAACGAAATTACAAATGAAGATCAATATTATAACAACTCTAGCTCTCGGTTCAATCGCACCCTCATAATCAATGTATATTCTCAATTGCAACGCAATCCTACCCTTTCATGGAAGTATTAACCCTAGGCAATAACAAGCTTTACTCCTTGAAATTCCTTTTAATTTTGACTAATGAAACATGCTCTTCAACAGTCTCTAACCATTAGACAACCTAGTTAAAGCTCTCCATATTTAATGTAATGGTTGCTTAGAGTTCCAATTAAATAGGTTAATCTAAGCAACAATCTCACAAGCTCGGATTATTTAACTTAGAGTTTTTTATTTAAGTAATAAAATGGAAAGTTTATCCACAATCTTTTATTACTAATCACTATTGTGTGATTAGGAACACATCGATTACGTAATACAATCCCTAATTCTAGCAATCGATATCAATTCAATCAATCAACTAGGCCTGAAGTAAATTAAACGAATCTGTTGTGCATGAATTTGCTGTAAGCTCAAAGATGTCGATAGCTCGTGAAACATAAAGCTCGTTACCATATAGAGCTCCTTGTGATCTAAAGTTCGCAAGAAGATGGAGCTCGATTAAAATGAAGCTCGTCGTAACAACTGCCCAACATATTAGAAGATAAGCCCAAATCTCCTAATATGTCGTAAGAGATAATGCCAATATCCATTTAGCTTAATTTTGGTGCACAATCACAGAAATTACGAGATATATATCAGATATGATTGCAATTCCAGATTTATCTCACTTACCATTTCGAAATTCCTATATAAATACCCCCAAAAAACAATGTTAAGGGGTTAAGATTTATTAGAGAGAGAGAAAGAGCATATTATGTATTACATAAAAGAAGAACAATAGAAGCAGTGGACGTAGTTTTGAGGAATAACTCACCAAACCACTTTAAAAATCTCTCGTGTCATTTTCATTTTCTTTTGGCTTGTTTCACATTCATTACTGATTTTAATTAATCATGCGCACATCCGTTCCGATTCCAACACGATTAGTCAGATCTCTCTAGTTGGTGCCTTTTTTGGTATAATAGAATCAAATATCATATCCCATTAAAACAGAATAACATTAATCAAGTCCATAGAAAGATAAGAAATTACATTACTTTATTAATTATACCATCGATATTTGTTAGGAATTGAAATCCCCTCAAATTGAATTGAAAAAGTTTAGCCAAACATCTTAAACTGAGAACAACAAGTGTTTCTGAATAATTTTCTTTGTATATGTTTTTTCTCCTTAAAAACCTAATATTCTATTTATAGCCCCTTCAAATAACCCTAAAACCATGTGTACAACCTCTCCCAACGGTTACAACTCAAATTCCTAAATTGTAAGCATTGAGTCCTACTCTTTCCAAAGCAGGCTGACTAATTTTTAGGTGGAACTTGTGATCTGATTTCAGGTTAGAAAAAAACTGAATTCGAGCCTGTGATCCTCATGAAAGTTGTAGCCCTAGTTATAAGTTTTCCAACACATCTTAATAATCTCAATTGGACTTCTAGAACTCAAGTTAAAGCCCAATTACTGACTTGTGCCCAAGCTATGACGGGATTGGATCTTCTGACTTTGCATAGTAAGCCCAATTTAAAAAGCTCAAGACGTCTACTTCAAACCTTAAGAAGACCTCTTTCTCTTCCTGAAACTCTAAGATCTTCAAAGTCTCCACTGAACCTTCAGAGGTCGAATTTGTCAATGTTTGAAAACTGCACATTATGCTCCACTTTAATTTGCATGCCTCCATTCCTTTCCTAATTCAAAAAATTTATAATCAGCTCAATTAATCACAAAATATATCACAAAGATTGATATAAAGGGATTGAAAATATCGATTATTGAACACTTATCAAATTCCCCCACACTTAGTTTTTGCACGTCCTCGGGCAAAACAACTCATACTAAGTACACATTATACTCAAGCCACACTAAGTACACCATCATGATGCACAAGTAATTATGTTTAATCCTTAGTTATACTCATACCTAACTTAGAATTGTAGCAATAGAAGAATAAACCAGAATCAAATACATTCATTTCTCTCTTCATCTTTATCTAAACTTATTCTCCTTCAGTCAATGCAAACTAGGCAACTTAACACAGCTGACTCATGCACAACTCATCTCTCATCCATTTCTCTTTATTACTACAAACCGGGTAGCAAACTAGGGTTTTATTTATGTCATCTTTAACTAGAGTGACATCAAGCCTTACAAGGCCAACCATTCAAGCCAATACTTTTGAAATCAAACTAGCCATAATCCAAATAATTCAACATTCAGTGCAGTCTGATGGTTTGACGAAAGAAGACCCTAATTCCCATATAGCCAATTTCCTGGAAATTTGTGATACTTCCAAGCATAATGGAGTTTCGGACGAAGTCATTTGCCTATGACTTCTCCCATTCTCTCTGAAGGACAAGGCGAAGAGTTGGTTGCTTTTTCTGCCTACAAGATCCATCACTATATGGGACATGATGGCACATAAATTTCTAGCTATGTATTTTCCTCTTGCAAAGACCGCTAAGTTACATAATGAAATTACTATGTTTTTGTAGGCTGATATGGAATCACTGTATAAGGCATGGAAGCGTTTCAAGGATTTACTATGCAAATGACCACATCACGGGTTGCTAATGTGGCTTCAGATACAAACATTATATAATGGCTTGACTAGCAATACCTATAATATGATAGATGCAGCAGTAGTGGGCACAGTAATGAGAAAGATTCTTGAAGAGGCATATGAATTGTAGGGTTTGTCATTGAATAACGCGGAATATAACTTAAAATTTTGTTCAACAAAACCCCAATCCAAGATCAAGATTGATATGATACAACCACTATAGAACCTTAATTTAATCCATTCAAGGTTTAAATACAGTACCTTCATTGATGGCTTCTTCAATTGGATTAGGATTCGGACTTCGCAAGATGATTAAGTGTAGAATCAAGCAAAACAGTGTTCACATAAAAGCAAGACGAGATCACAAACGAATCAACTGCTAGATTGAATCGTTTGCCCTAAGAGAGATCACAAAATTTTGAGAGGAAAAAATTCTCTCTCAAAAAGGGTTTAGGCAGCTAGGGTTTAGGTAGAGTGAAAAAGTGTGAATGAATTAATTCCCTTTTTCTGCTACTCCCTTCTTTATATAGTGAGGGATAAAATATTCCTCATTTGGAATAGGAATATCACTATTCCTATTTGGAATGGCTTTCCAATATAATCCAAATAAATATAAAATATATCTATTCATATATTTAATTATGGGATTAAATATATTTAAGTTAATTAAATATATTCAATATTAATATTAATGTATTATATTAATATTAATATAATTACAATTTTGATAAATTAATTATATTAATATTAATATAATTACAATTTTGATAAATTAACTTCAATATGAATATTGAATGTTGATAACAACCTCAGCAAAGTCAATCGCATAGCAAAATTACCAAAATGCTCATTTCATCCAAAAGACAAAATTACCCTTCATTTCATTTTTCTTCTTAAACTGTTTTTAATGCATGTGACTTGTAGGCTCTTTATTATGTTGGCAATGATTGGATCCATAATTAAGCATCAACTAATTAGTGTTCCATACACCAATCAAGATTGGCCTCTAGCAAGGCATCATAATTACCCAACAAATAAAGATTCAGCGAAGTTGTTTCCTTTCAACAGTATGGTTACTGTACAATTCAAATCCCTCCATCATCATTTATCTCATCAAGATTTGAAGTACAGAAGTATTGTCAACTTCAATCAATTTGCCTTGATACATTTGTATTCAGTTATCAAATCAACAACTAAATAAAATTGGATTTGAGCATCGACTCAATTCCACTGTGGCCAAAGATTTTGCAGTCATAGTTACCAACCGAATAACTTAGCGAGATAATTTCTCCTGTACCTAAGAGTAATATATCCTTTGTTGATCTACCATAGTCATAGTGTACTTTTCGATGCAACCAACCACTACTGTACTGATAACCCTAAATAGGACTATGTTAGGCTAGTGTCAAATTACACCAACAATTACACATGGTGCTCTGGTGATCTCAAGTCTAAGGATCACATGTACCTCCATCCATTAGGGGATATATTCCATAGACATTGGGGTTACCATCTAATGTAAGGAACCAAGGGTTAACCCATCTCTGCACAAGGTGGCGCGTTTAGCGGAGCTAAAATGGTGATCGGACAAACAATAGGATAAACACCCACTAAGGATTTACGGGTAGATGAACGTCCACAAAAGATGGCAAACCCACAAAGGATTCTAGTTTTAGAGACCACAAAGGTTTCCAAAAATATTCTTTGTATATTTCTTATTTCTTCAAAAGCTGCCTGTTTACAATGAGAAAAGTGCCCTTATATAGGCGCACAAAACCCTAACAAAAATCTGACGCTTGCCCCAAATCTTATCAACTTTAATGACAAGTGTCCCTACTTTTAAATCCCTACATACATGTGTACTATTCTAGAATAAAGTAAGATAAAACACATAATTTTCTCTAAGTTATTCACTTTGCTATTTAGCTCTTTATAACTCGCAAGTCGCTTCTTAGTCAGATCGCTTAACCCTCAGTTCATTCCTCTATCAGATCAATCACTATAACGACATGTCACGATGCTTCTACATCACCATTTATATAGAATCCTTTGGTAGGTCAGTCCAATGAACTTGTCATTAACAAGCACCCATGCGTCGCACCAGGTTGGCACCTAACAACCTTGACATGTGAGAACTATCACTACGTTTATGATACGTTTACAAGTCCTAAAACACTTGTAAACATGGAATTTTACTTCTTTGCATGTGGACAAGGAATTGCAAGTGATGAACAATTTTACTTCCTCGCAAGTGCACGAATCGCTATCATAGTATAGTGTGCAAAAGCAAGAGTCGATCCCATAGAGATTTGTAAGTTATCAAGTAATCCTAATAACAATGCCTTAATTAAAACAAATAAATTCAAGCAAATTAAAGAGCTAGTGATTAAAACTAAGTGTAAAAAGAAACTAAAAATTAACTACTATTGACTGAGCCAAAATAACACCAATAAAAACTAATTTAAGAACTAATGAACTACAGCCTAGGTATCCAATTTCACTATAATAATCCAGTTTTATGCCAACTATCAAACTATTGTTATCACAATCCAATTTCTAGGGTTCGCACTCACATAATTAAGGTATCACCGTAAGGCGTTCGGGATTAACCTAGTATCTTTAACACGAGACTAGCTAGGGCATATACTCTAGCCTAATGATTAAAAACCCTTTAAATACAAGAGCACTCGAAATCATGAATAAATGCACATCTGTCAGTGCGTATGCACAAATACTAATCATTTAAGAAATCATGAACCAATTAGCATTTTGTCAGGGCGTATGCATAAAATACTAATCATTCATTCACACGAGCTATTCAAGATTAGCTAGGGTGTGTAGTCTAACCTTGTCTCACACAATCAATTAATTAACATTAAAGGTGATCAAGCAATAACATCAATTAAAGATTGAATAAAGGATAATGAATAAAACTAGAATTGCAATGGATTGATAAGACAAATAGAATTAATAAAGACATAAAACCTTCTTATTAGGCTACATTGGATCCCTAGAAAATTATTTAGTTACACATGAGCATAAGGAAATCAAACATCAAAATCTTGAAAACCATGAAGTACAAAAAGAATAAGATGAAACCCTAGGGAAGATCTCCTCTCCTTGCCCCATCCTAATTATATTTGATATCATAAACCCTAGCTCCCTAAAATATTGCTAAGGACATCTATTTATAATATTAAAGTCGTGAGGGTATTATGGTAAAAAGTTATACTTCAATTAAAAACACATAATAACAAATTTGCACATCTTCAAGCACTAACGTAACTTTCATCTCCATTTTTAACCATATTCCAGGTCTAACTAGGCCATGATCAAAACACAAAAGTTGTAGCTCTACCAGAACCAGGTCAATCAGAGTTGTGTAGCTCAAGTTATGATCATTTTTGTGCAGCATGTTCTGGCAGAAAAATTTCCGAACATAAATTTCTCACATTGCGTCGCGGCATGATTATTGGTTCTATGGCATGAAGTTTCTGTCCATTTTGCAATGTTATGCTGCAGTGTGGGAATAGTTCCGCTGCGGCAAACAATCTTCAAAAATTCATAACTTCTTCGTTTGAGCTCCAATTCTCGAACTGTTTGTTCCTACATGCTTATGATTCTTTCATCTTCAATGTCCATGCTTGAAATCCTCATTTTTCAGCACCTAAACACCTAAAAATTCACAAAGCATACTCATGATTCTAGAAAACAAAAGAGATATAGAAATTAAGTAAAATTAACCAATTAAACCTAATTCCCTCACAAAATACCCTTAGAATCGCTAAGTATGAGTGCACTTCCAAGCACTCATCAGCAAGTCCTAAAACACTTGCTAATTCAGTTGAATTGAAGAATTTCACTCCAAGTCCTAAAACACTTGGATTGTGGAATTTGGAAAGCAATGGAGGATATTCAGCCCAAGTAAGTTCCAAGGAGGGAGGGAGTCCAAACATTTCGGCCCAAGCCACTCTAAGCCCAAGCACAACAAGGGAAGCTCAAGCACACCAAAAAGGAAGTCCAAGTGTTGAAAAAGTCCAATCCGGCCCAAGTTCATTCCAAAGGGGAAGATCCACATGATCCCTTATTGGATCAATTTGCATGATTCTCAAGACCCAAATTCTTACACCCTTATTAGTGGACTTAATTAGGATCATTGATTAAGTTTTGATCTAATGGAAGTAAGCTTATTTTAACTAATAGGGTGGTTAAAGACATAGATCCTAGAATTAGGGAATTATGTCTCTTTTTGTATTAAGTAGGCATGGCCTTGCTTTTTGAATGAATGGCTTGTAATATTTGGTTAAGTTTATTTCATTTTCTTGTATTTGTCAATTACTTGTTTATCCTTGTATTTGCTTATATAGGACAACTATTCTTTTATAACATTTAGCTTTAGAAATATATGAAATTGGTTTATCCATTTGAAAGAACTTTTGTGTTCCTGAGTGTGAATTCTTTATCCAAGTCTTGGCAAGTGATTTGGTGGTGAATTAATTCAAGTTGGTGGAGCAATCCTTTATGCTTGAAGTGTTATTACTTGTCTTGGTCTGAAAATTGCAAGTAAGTGTTTGAATTCTAATTTTTGTGTTGGCCGAATTTGCTTGGATTTGTGGTATGTTGTTGTGTTGTATTGGTTGGAATTGGATCACTTTCAGTAGGGTAGTTCAACGCTATAATAGTCTTACCATATAATATGTGTTCTTGGTCAAATTAATACTGGGGTTACGGACAGTTCTAGAATGGTCACCATATATGATCATAAGGTTCTCACAGTTAAGATTTAAAATACTTAATTCAATTATCACGATTTAACCCTTCTAAGGACGTATATCAATATATAAATACAAATATATAAATGAATGCTATGATATAGAATTTATGACTTTATTGATATTCAATATAATATTGCAAGAGTCTAATATTATTGGCTGTAGTACAACTATCCTAACATGAACTATTTGAAGAAATGGCTGCAAACAGTTGGCAATGGGCTACAGGTATATAAGTAATGAGGAGACCAGCAGTTCACAATGTAGATGCGATCAGAGCATTAGCAGCCCAGACAGAACCTTTGCATAAGAAAATAGACAACTCGAAGGCTATTGCAGTGCAAAGTCAAATTTCCCCTTGCGATTTTTGTGGAAGAGGCCATCCAAATCATGAATGTTAGGTAAGTAATTCTTTTGCACATCCTTCTAAGCAAGCTAATTTTGTCTCAAATTTTCACAGGCAGCAGAAAATCCATGTAGTAGCACATACAACTCACCATGGAGGAATCATCCAAATTTCTCGTGGAACCAGAATGTCACTACATCGTCACCTCAAGAATTCCAACACCTCAAGAGAAGAAATCTAACTTGGAGGATATGATGGCTAAATTTGTGAGCACTGCTGAATCAAGATACTAAAACAAAAGAAGCATCCATTCGGAACTTGGAGGTACAAGTGGAACAGCTTGAAAATTTAGTCTCAGAAAGAACACAATGCGCTTTACCAAGTAACACTGAGAAGAACCCGAAAGAGCAAGTCAACGCCATCACGTTGAGAAGTGGGAAACAGTTGGAAGAAACCAAGCAAAATGAAGGCTTGAATGACTCTCAAGTGAAGCAGGCTCAAGAGACAGAAAAAAAGGAAGAGCCAAAAGTGTGTGAAGCAACCAACCCTGAAAAAAATGGTAAATCGGTTGGTAAAAATGTTGTTGAGAGGAAATATATTCCTCCCCTTCCTTATCCTAAAAAATTGAAACAAGAGATGCTTGATAAGCAGTTTTTGAAATGGGAATGGGAATGGGGTCCCCGTCCCTGCCCCGTTGCCATCCCTAATCGAACAGGGCAAGTTAAAGGTTTTCTCATCAAAACATAACCAAAACCCGTTCCACCCAATTATTTAAGAATTGGTAAAGAGGTGGATTTGACTATTCATAAAAAAGATGGACATGGAATGGAAATTACATCTGTCCCAATCTGCCTCATTGACATCCGTAACTAGAAGGATGCAAAACTAGTTTGGCAAGGTGGCAACAGACTAGCATGTCTGTTAATTACAAATTCAATTGAAAGCATGAAAAGAAACAATTACAAAAACGAAATTATAACCATGACATATTGTTGTGAACTAAGATCCATAAGATTTTACGCCTGGTCAAAGGAAAATTGGGCATTATTTCAATCCAGATTTCAATATATTTGTCCAACATTATTCGTTAAAACATTCTTCTGTATACTTTTAATAAAAGGATCGTGCCTCAAGTACTGACTTTTTGATACTTTGATACATTATAAGATACAAGCAATAGCCATTCTGAAAACATAGAAGCAGGCTTTAATTGAGAAACTCAGGCCAGTAGCAGCAGCAAGGCTTCAATATCCCTGGGGTTTCACTGAATATACAAAATACACAAGAAGGAAAATGTAATAACTTTCAGGTCTCATGACAATAGCGACAATTGCTTTTAAGGCTTTCAAAGCGCCGGAGAAAATGCTCATCTGGAGCTACCAACAACAGCAACAAGAAAAGACCCAGTTATGAACAAGAGAAGCTTCAATCAAATTTCAAAGATGAAATTTTCTAGCACTTAAGAACTTCTAGTTTCTCCAAAGAACTGCGGACGTCAGAACTTGCCCAATCTTCAGTAGTCTGAATAATATTGGGGCTGTCAAATGGAATGACATCTGAGAGAGGGTAACTCCGATTGGCATGGACTTGATTACTCACGGTGCTACAAGCTCTCTTCAATACTATAGTTTTGTGCACACCACCAAGAAGTCCTTCATAATCGGTGTCCCCAGAATCTTCGACAAAAACCACCATCTTTGACAACTCCACACCCCACCGAACATATAGATACCTGTCATATGTTTTAAGTCATTAAACTTAACAAAATTGTTATGACAGCCAAATGAATTTGAATAAAATTAGCTCAATAACATATGGCAATATAATAACATAGATTCATCAAACCCCACTGCTTACTAATATCCTCCAACTTTTCTCTCAACCCTCATCCCAGATGCCCCCAAGATCCCAACCTTGGTGAGATTAAAAATCAAATTAATCCCAAGATCTCCAACAATAGACCTAACCAGCTAAACTAATAGTATCCTCAGCCTCAATATACTACATTGTTCGACAGTACAATTGGCACATTACCACAGCGATAGCAAGAAACGATAGGAGCAAGTTTTTCAGAGCTCTTGTACTACTTTTGCAAGTGTAAATTTCTAACTACATTGACCAAAAGTCACCATGAAGATCCTTAGGACCATATTTGATTGTTGCACAACTAAGGCAAAGAAAACATAGCCATCAACTCTTATCATTCGGTTTATCAGTTCAAAGCTCAATCACTTTTATCAATTAAGACAGTTTTAAAAGTTGTGGATATCATTCAAATGGCTTCAAACTAAGTACACAAATTGTTTAAAACAAAAAAATTGCACCTTTATTCTACCATATGATACAAACAGTAGCATTTGCACATAACATCATGCAAGCAATGAATGGTGCATAACATACTGAGCAGTGCATGAAGGAATAATAAAACTGTAACTTAATTCAACTGTACTTCAAAATAGGGAATGACAGATTGCACCCTACTCAAGTCATAAGCTTGAATATCCATGGCAATACTATTTAAAAAGAAAGGATACTGAAGGTTTTAAGAGTGTAATCTAGAACTGTTATTCCATCAATAAGAACAAAAGTAAAACTTTACCTGAGAGCTTGGGAACGTGATGCCAAAACTGGAATAACATTTATCCTAGTACCATTTTGGCAAAAAATAACATGACAACGAAGAGCTTGAATTCTCAGCAACTTCCTTAGTTCCTTGACAGGGGTAACCTAGTAAGAGATACACAACACAAAAATAAATGATTTAGAATAATACTACACCAACAACCCTTTCTCACAAACTTTCTCTCACAACTCTAACGTGGCAACTCGCAATAGGCCAGCTCACAACAGGTTCCACATGGGTCCCGCATGGATCCCACTAATTAATTGCGAGTTGTCATGTCAGAGTTGTGAGAAAAAGTTTGTGAGAAAGGGTTGTTGGTGTAATATTACTTTTTTCCAAGATGCAAAGCCAACTGCATTAAATCTTAATCCACACAATAAATTGACCCACAATTTAGGGAAAAAGCAGTTGTTTAATTGTAAAAAATATATCAAAAGAATAAGAGAACAAAACATACCACTCCAGGCTTTTGCACGGTAAAAGCATAGCAGTAGTTGGTTGAAAGTTGTTCGGCTGCTGTGACAACTTTGTCCTCATTTTCAGCCTTCTTATCATTAACTGAAGTCACCCAACGAACCAGAGTCTTCCTCAGTCCTTCCCCACCCCAACGGTATTCAATATGTGAATGGTAATAGAAGTCAACCACAAAAGGACCATCCTCCGAATTAAGAGTTGAATAGTAGAGATCACTCCCACTATTACAAATAAAAGCATCAAAATCATTAGGCTTGAAGCCCCCCGATACAAGAAAAGAGTGTATCTCAGATAAGGTCATTGATGTTGACAATATAAACCCAATAGAGCCTTCGGTCCTTTCCTTTTCCACAGCCTCAAATATCTTTCTGGTGGCTTCAACAATACCTGTAGTGTTATCAAGATCCAGAGAAATGACAAAGATATGCTTCCGCCTCCTCAATGCTGGAAACTTACCAGAACCGGTAGTTAGGTCCGCTTTATCTGTGGACCCAGTCTTTCGTGTGTCCTTTACAACACCCTTTGACCATGCTAAAACAGCATTCTCTAATTTAGTCTTTCTATCAGCAGGTCCTTCACATTCTAAGGAATTATCATTTCCGCTAGCCCCACTCTTTTCTCCATCCATTGAAAACTTCAAGTTCAAAGATATATCCTGTATATCCCTCAAGGAATCACTTGGTGACTCTTCCTCTGATGTTTCACCTTCATCATTATTTCTTTGCCACTGTGGATGCCTTGGTTTGCAACTGGCTATCCTAGATAGATAAGTTTTACAATGCTCCGGCCAAGAGAAAAGGTGAATGTTCTTCAATCCATTCTGTCGACACTTTGCCCAAAGCTGCTTATCCGCAACAAGCTTTAAAAGAGCATCAGCAATAGATTGTTGATTATGGGGATCAACAAGAAGACCATTGTCAAGTACCTGTAATTTATTTCCACTTCAAATTAGAAAACTTGGTGAACTTCTATTCAGGCCATATATACAAATAATCATGCAAGTAGTATATATAATCATCAATTATACCCGGTGTATATCAACAGGACCTCCATTCTTTGTGGCAACAAGTGGCAAACCATGAGCTGCTGCCTGTTCAACCAAAGAACCACAGTCACTTTGGATTTTGAAATGAAAGTGAATAATTGGAAGAAATATCTTTACATGTATTAGAAATAGCACCTCAATCAAAGTAAGCCCAAATGGCTCGATGAAAGCTGGATTAATGAAAACACCCTGCACAGAAGTTGGATAAATTATAAATGTAAAATATATACCATGTATGAACTGCCTAGCCTCTGTTCATAAGTAGGTGCTTCAAATATGAGAACATTAATCAAGCATATACATGCACCCTAGACTTGGTAGTCATATGTAGATAATGAAATCGATTTTCATAATAATGGCATTAACAAATCACCCTAATTGAATGCCTCAAGGAAAGCCTCAAAGAAACACAAAAAACCAAAACCCCACGAACCCAACTTTTGACTTTAAAGCTAATATTTAGCCAAATCAAAGCATGATGCCACGTAATGAGAAAAAAAAAAAAAAAAAGAAAGAAAATTTTGTTAGGCAGCATGAAGTTGAATGGTGAATAATGATAATGATAGGAAATCAATTTCATAAATTAGATATCACATGTATAAAGAATTATAAGAAGAAAACATGTCTGGCACATAATATCCAAACATAGAATGTAGATGACACTCTGAAACAGATGTCTAAAGTACACTGCAAAAAAAAAAAATGGTAGTTGACTAGCACTGAATTTAATGATACAAAGAACCTCCAACAAGTACCTTTGTCTTTGCTGCAAGACGATATATGTCAGGAACATCAGATTGTTTGTGATGTTTAGGATATGCCACTTGTCCATAGAGATCATATTTGTCAATAAGCTTAAGTACTGAGAGAAGAACGGAAGCATTTGTGCTTGACATTTCATCAATTCCTTCTCGGTTACCCATAATTAGAGTCTGAAGGCCACCAAGGAAAATATCAAGAAAATTAAAACATAATATGACCTCAACAGAAAGCAAATTCAGCTGAACAGCAAGATGTCTTCAACAATCAAGTGTCATTGAGTTTAAAACATACAAGGTTAGCAAGCTCTCTCAGTGGACGACATTCTCCAAATGCTTTAACCAAAGTCATGATATTCTTTTTTGGATCAGGCCTAGCAAGTGCAAGTATCATAGGCTTCCTTGGGTTGGTAAAGAAGCGCATTATCTGCAATATACCAACATAAAAAAGGACATCAATTATACACCATAATAATTCATGGCTGCAGACACATTATCCAAGTTCCATTTAGTATATAGGTCATCTATCGAGGACACATCAAACAAGTACCTAAGAATTATTATTACCTCAGTCCAGATAGATGGATCTGGAGAAGTAGGATGGTCTTCATTTCCTTCTGTCTCACCATCCATATCACCATCTTGTGGAACAATATGATGGAACTCCATTCCAGGAGGAATTATCTGCAGAATTATACATTCATCAATTATATACCATGAAATCGCAATGTATTTAGCCACAATATCAAGTGTACCAGAAGACAAACCCATAAGGAAGTAAATATTTTCAATTAAACCAGACTGCTCTGAAAACAAGGTCTATCCTGGCTCACTTCATGCTTAGTATTTATGTCTTTTTTGCTAAGCCTATGATATATCTGAAAATGAAATCACCTAAAATAACTGTACCCTTCCCCAGCCCATAATTGGTTCTGATGAGGCCAATACCCTTTGATACCCCGCTATCCATGTTGCAGTTCACATTCTTTTGTGGCCAGCATGTCAAATACCCATTAACTTGCTACATATTTTATCTTATATATATATGCCTGCATGTTTATCCAAGTGAAACTAAGATTTGCAAATACTAACAACAGGTTTATGTTTTACTAAGGACACAGCAACACTACAATATCTAGACTCAAGGACATGCCTATATGGGTTTATATTTATATATCCATGATAATCATACATCTCAGTTTATATTTAACATGGTTTTACTGTTTTCGTGTAGATTTTACTTACCCCTGATGGTTTTTGTGCTTTTTGTGGACATCATGTCCACCCCGTACTAATAATTCTTATTATATATATACATCTAAGTTTCTCATAAAAGAAAATGATAATTACAAAAACATCTATTAGACCATGATTCTATGCTGTTTAATAGTAGACAGTCTTTAAACAGAATTGCATAGCACCCTCAAAGTGTCACAGACAGTTATGCAAATAAATGTGCATTCTCCTATGAGTAACCCTGTAAGTATGGTCACCGCCAGCCATAGATGCCATGTCCTCAGGTGTCCAACTCACCAACTTTTAAGAGGACAAGTGTCTAATATATAAATAATGAGAATTTGGTGAAACCAATCCAGGTCCAACAAAGCTCATTAATCAACCGTGCTTAGCTTCCCGCTCTACCTAGATAAAGATAAAGAACCCAAGCTCTAGAAAAGGAAAGTGCACTTGGTTTCAAAAATATTATTTTCACACCAAGAGCTAAAGAATTAAATTATGTCCAGGTACTTACAACCATGCGAGGCATGAACCTGCCATAACAGCTCACATTACGCCTAATCCTCACTCGCAGTTTACGTTCCAAAATAGGATCAAAACCATCATATAAACGCCATTGCTCCTCGATCTCCTGTCTAGTGCTAGTTATAACTATTTCAGAGGCATCAAGTGCTAATTCCTCAGCTTCTATCCGACGCATTATTTTGTATGTTGTGTTTATTTCATCCCTTGACAACCGGGCTTGCTTTAAAAGCTGTTCTAATTTATCTCGTCCAAGTGAATGGCCAGTAAAAAGCATTGGTACATTTAGTGCACCAGACAGAAGAGCAGCAGAGTCACCTGCATCTGCATAATGGCCATGGATGGCGACAGGCCAGATTGGTTTCCCACCACCAACTTGCTCCCCGAGAACATTGGACATCCGGATTATGTGGTTAAGGGCACCATCAACAAACTCTGGGATGTGAGGCCACAAAAGTTCTTTAGGAATATATTCATCTTTTGGACCAAATGGAATTCTAATAATATAAGCACCACTACTCTCCCCCATCTCATCCATGAAATCTTCTGAATTTAACGGTGTAAGCATTTCTGTGGGTTCACCGTAACTCCAATCTACATCTGGTGCCGATACCTGTCTAGTCAGCAAATCTACTCGATATACTCCAGGCATTGACCCCAAAGCTCTTGCAAGTTCCACAACATACTTAACCTAGAAGAAAGAATAATGTATCAATAACAGCAAATTTTTTTCAAAAACCATAATTGGTTGAGAGACCACAAATGCCATCACATAAAATAATTTTGTATCTATAATGTACCAACATCAAGAAGCAAGTTTTTGCAACCAAATATTACCTGACCACCAGTATCAGAATCACGACCAAGCTCCATATTTTCTCCTCGTATGAGACCGTGAAGGCTGCACAGATACTTTTTGTAAATAACACCATCATGCATGCCAGAACATACTAAATTCATTATATCTTACCATAGAATAAAACTAAACATATTTAATCATCCATTAATTTTCTTTCTTAGTCAATCAATTAATATCCAAACAGCAGTTACAACACTTGCACAAACTATTGAAAGCAAAAATTAACCGAAACCTTTCCTGACATGATAAAAACTAGAGCACCAAGTTGAGTTCATGCCTTATCAGTACAATGTAGAGTTTTTTCCCCTTCTGTTGATTAACAAATGTCTCCATTGCATCAACAGAACTTATTCTAGGCAATCTCCCTCTGTTGCTATCACCATGAGATGATAAATCTCCCACCAAATCCCCTTTCTCTCCCTCTGATAAATCCTCAGACATATCAGCCGTTGCTTCTCTGCGCCCTCTTTCGCGCTCGAGCCGACGCTTCGCCGTCCTCTGAGCTGCCTCTCCTTCAAGCTACACAACAACAAAGCCCTTGTAAAAAACTGACAAATCATTCAATCTAACCAAACAAAATCCTAAAACTAGATCATCAATAACATTCAAAACATCTAAAGACTAAAATAAAACCTGCTTTTTCTGACGAGCCAAGTTCCAAATCCTCCAACACATGTTCTCCAATCTCGTGTTTCTCTCCTGGGGACTCCTGGTGGCTTGAGCGCGAACCCATGAGCGGTGGAGATCGGTCTCATCGAAGCCAGTGATAACTTCTTCAACAAAGTATCGGGTAGGACTGAACCTGCCTCTCTCTCGTAAAAGCAGAGACGATTTAACGTCGTCCAGGCCTGGACCCACATCAAGAATTGCTTCAAGATAACTGTTAATCCAGTCGTTTCCGGCCATTAAAAGGAAGTTGAGAACTTGCTAAACTCTTCTTGAAGAAGAAGAGAGAATGGCGTTAATTATTTGTTATACGATAAGGACAGTGTGCCGTGAGTTCAAAGTCGTGTTGTAAGAGAGAGAGAAGGAAGAGACAAACAGAGGGAGAGGAATTCGGGATTTTGGTGTCTTAAGAACTGTAAAACTCTGTAAATTTGTTAACTTGTTGTAACTGTATACTCTCTAAACTCTGCTCAAAGTTTCTTGCTCACTTCTCTATGAGCATATGGAAGAAAATCTAATTTTATTTTAACCAAATTTAAGAAAATATTAAATGAAAATTTACCTTATTTATAATGACTATATGATACTTCATATCACACAGTTAAATACATCCATCAGCGTGGAAGGTGTAATTTGCGAGGACTTCCTTTAAAGCCCACAGTTTTTTAAAATACACAAAACCTCCCCGAAGTAAGAACCATAAATTGAGAACTGAATTTTAAATAGTGACGGTTATAAAATGAATAGTGATAATAACATTGCACATGCTATTGATTGATGCCACTTAAGCTAATGCGGACATTCTTTGTCATTGTTCACAATATCAAGATGTCATTGTCGTAATGTATTTAACGGTATAATCTTAACTTAAAAATGAAATAAACCTTACTAAATTATTATTAATCGATGACAAATTCAATGACATACTTAACATCATTAAAATTAGTTCATGCAATTTATTAATTTGTTACCATCGTTGAAGTTTTCAATCGATTTCTAACTTTGCAACAATACCTAATATATATTTATAATCTAATGGTAGTTGTATTTGTTTAAGATTATAGAAGTAGACAAATCAAGATAGTGAGATCATGACACTGCCAATTGACCACTAACAAATTGACACTAATATATTTAGTGTTGAATAGTGTTTCGAAGTTTTGAAATTGTATTTTAAAAAAAAAAATGAAATGACTAAATTATCCCTAATTATAACTATAAATTTAATTAAAAGAGTGAGGGGGAGGTAATTGTAATATGAAGAGGCATGAGGGTTTAATTAATTTGTCTAAAGATGAGGTAGATTAGTGGAGATAATGGGATAATAAAGAAGAGAAGAGAAGACAGGTGTCAGAAGAATGAGGGAAGGAGGGGTCTTGTGGGTATGAATGATTAATAAGAATTTAAGAAAAGATCCTAGTAATATGCCCCCATTGCTTTACCCACACCAGACACGTAACCATAAAGATTTATTACTTTTGGATTCTGCCACTGCTGTCTTCGATTTCCTAAACTAATTTACTCTAATTTTTAGGACAGATATAATATGTAGTTTTCATTTTATTAGCAAATTTCAAAAGTGCTCTATCTTTATTTGTACCACTTTTGAATTTTGGTTCAAAATTGGTCAAGAATCTTTGACTAAATTTCAAGAGTGAAAAATAGGAAATAAAATCCTTTGAATTTATTAATTCAGCATTCACTTTATCATTCATGTTCGTAATTCAATATCTTTAACATCTAATGGTTTTATTTAAATAGAAAAAATTGTGTAAAAAAATGTGGCTCTTGATCATGTTATATACCTATAATAGTCTAAAAGTAGTTTTGAGTTTGTACTTTCTGAAAATAACAACCTAGTAATTGGTCGTATGTTTAAAACTTTAAGATATTTGAAATAGAGATTGACTATATAATATATTGTGAAGTTAAAGAGTAGTTGCTAATTTTTAGTTCATACATTAAGGTTTTCATAATAGTATTTGCATTAAATATTATCTATCTATATATATTTCAACCTAGTTAGAAATTATGAAATTTTATAGAGACGTTTAAATGACAGAGAAACGATGGTCTTACATGAAACTCTATCTGCTATCATCCTGTCTTTATTCATCAACTAATTAAACGTTTGTTAGTTATCAAAAGGATGACCATTGAATTGACAATCCCCTAACTTGGTGGTCCTCAGTTCCCAAAATTACAAGCCTTCTTCAATCTTTTCATAATATATCGCTATGACTTTTGTTTCATTGACGAAACTCTTACACAACAACATGAATGAATAAATAATACACAAAATAGTTTTAGGTTTAATTTGAGATTATTGTAGCTTCTCTCATAATCACTTATTTCTTAAACAATAATCCAATATATTTTTTATAAACACATTTCAAAAGTGATTATAGAACAATTTACTTTTTTTTGTAATCTATTTGATTGAATGATATTAAAAGTAGGTATTTATAGCTTTCGGAATTCAAAATCAGCTTTTAGAAATACAATTACCAAAATACCCTAAAATTAAATATAAATTCTAATGTTATTAAATATAAATTCTAATTATCTATAAATTAGATTAATAAAATATAGAAATACATGAACTGACTGGTGGAGACGCCGACCAGCTTCCAGCGAGTGAGTTTACATCATCGGCACCATTAGAACCTCCGATTGACTATCTACGCAATGGTGTCAAAGGTTTATTGTAATATGGCATGGTTATACTGCAGAAATCTGATAAAGTTTTGGCCAAACTCTTCTAACTTTATGTGCTTTAAAACAACCTAATTTTGACAGTTGGCATCATTATGTAGATTGGCGGTCGTCGATCTCAATGGTGTTGATGGTGTGCATTCATTCGCCGTCAACAAGTTCACCGGTAGAGGCAATTAGCAATCGTTAGCCAATTTTCATTTTTTTTAAATATATTTTAATAATAAAAAAAAATTTCAAACCATACCCGTTTTGATCTTTCTTTTATTTTTTTGATAACCAGACTGTCCTGACTAATTTATGCACACCTTAACTAATCCTAAGACTATTGAATACTCTTTTACAAACTCAATATTCTAGATAAGCTACAAATATGTTAAATAACTTCAAGGTGGTTTAAACCAATCAATGAAATGAGTAATCATTCTTGACCACCAAATCAATCTCTTAAGGTTTGTTCTGATCTTTTTACATGGTTAATATATCATCTCTTAAAAATCAAAGTGATTTTAAAATTAAGAAAACAAACACCCTACTAAATTATATTTAAAGTTGATTATTTCAAAAGTAGACTCACACTCATAATTAATTATGAGACAAGCTATAATAATCTCAAACTAAATTTTTATCCTTATGTGAATGGCTCTTAACTTCCACTAAGAAATTGACTTATGGTGATACGATAGAAAAGGATGGTGTCACCCATCAAGTAAAAAAGATGAATATATCGATTATTAATTTATTAAAATAATAAATTGATTATCTTGGTTTCCCATTTTCATTTCCTGCAAAATATAATAGATATCTTTAATTTGATGATTAATTATTCCGGCATATTCCTAAATTTATAGTGCTATAAATAAATTTTAATTTAAATAATACTATATGAATAAAATTTGTATATGAAGTTTTAAATTTATGTCTTGCTTATAAAAAAATTATATAATTTTTTTAATATTAGAGTATAAAATAGAGATTTATAAATGTGAGTTGTATTGATGTGTGTCATAAGAACATATGTTAAAAACAGTAAAAAAAAAAAAAAAAAAAAATTAGTATTTTGATACATTGAAATTGTGTCTTATCTTCTATATATAATATGCATCTAAATAAATAAATAAAATCTTTTAATATTAGAATACATATTAAGACAATTCATAAAATATTTATAGGCTTTATTACGCGTAAGTTGATTGGTTTAAATTAATTAATTCAGTAGGTCTTTCATAAATTTGTCAACCTAGCAAGCTACTTAATTTAACAATAGGGTTTAGTCAAAGAATATTCCTTAATAGTTGATATAAGGTTTAGCAAATTATATTATGTTGATAAATCAAAAGAAATTATTTTATCAGATGATTGATTTGTCACGTTAGTGGGGGACCGGAATGAAGGTGTAAAGTGAGAATGATGAATTTGAGAAAAATTAAAAAAATATTATAATTTTCTACAGTATTACTTAAAAAGGGACACGTCCTCTTGCATCGTTCTTCCTAATTATCATTGTTTATTAAGACGATAATCTTCAGCCGTACAGGTGTTGGTTATTTATTTGTATGTAAAAGTAAAACATCCCATTTTAATAATATTTGATCACGAGCACAAAGGTATTTATTTGTTTTTTTCTAATTAATTTTACTGTATAACATAGTAATATATTGGTGGGTGTCTCACCAATTGACACGCTGCAACCAATTTTTATGCTTGCCACCGCATATCATGTGGCTGTTTTTAATTGGTTATACATAACCCATTTCTATTTAAGCCTCATTTGAAATGAAATGATAATGAGAACACTATTAATTAATTGATATTCTACATTAGATAAAATTAGTTTTGTATCACTCAATTGAGGAAAGAAATGTAAAACATTCTTAAATCACTATTGAATTTATATATTTATTATCAAATAAAAACTATCGAATTGCAATAGATCAATAATTTATAAATTAATGTCAAAAATGTAAATAAAAAATATTAAGTTCATATAATATAGCCTATAGGGTGTGTTTCTTTTGGGAAATTCTTTATCACTGAAAAAGATAAGATTGCTATTGAGATATATTATCTTGAAGATTAATGGGGAATGTTATAATAATATGTTTGGTTAGATTGATGAATATAAGTAATTAATATGTTTAATTGGGAGAAATAAAATATTATCGAGGGATTTTTACTGAATTGCCCTTCCTTGTTATTATTATTATTTAGTACATTTTTTTAACCCCCTACTTTGAGAATTTAGCTAAAACAACCCAACAATAAAAGTTTAAAATTTAACAAAATACACCCAACCACCTAAGACGACTGCCAGCTATCAGGCACCACCGCAGGCCATCGTCAATAGTCATCGAAACAGCGCACGACCGATCGGATCTGGCATGTCTTGCACCGATCTAACCGTTTTCGACCAGATCGAAGGCCGAAAACGGTCAGATGGCCATGGATCTAGTTGGAAAGCCATATCCATTTGACCATTAACAGCTAAATCTATAGCCGCTAACGGTCGTGGATCTGACCGAAAACAACCAGATCTGTTCTAACTGTTAACGGCCAGATCTGTTACCGTTTACTGCCTTGGATCTTGCCAAAAACGGCCAAAATGGATCTAGTCATTTCCGACTAGATCCACGACCATTTGGCCATTTCTAGCCTTCAATCTAATTGAAAACGGCTAGATCGGTGCACAGCCAGTCAGATCCGGCCAGTCGTGCGCTGTTTCAATGACTGCCAATAGCGGCCGACAGTGGTGGCCGACAATCGATAGTTGTCTTGGGTGGCTAGGGATATT